AGAAACACTGCATACAGGGCTCATAAAATTCTCACAATAGCAGGCCACCATTGAAGAATATCAGTTGTTATTTTGAAGTAAATCAATATTAGATTCCACCTGTTGGCCTTTTGTTTCCACAATTAATGCTAATATGCAATGATCTTCTAAAACATGCATTATTCAGATAGAAAAGTCACCAGGTATAAATAAATCTGTTATGAATAGTGAGATCTAGTGAACTGCCAAGTTTAAAAAATACGGTGGCACAGTGAAGAGATAAAATGCACAGTTTAGTAGAAAGAAAGAGTAAGATCATTGAAGCCAAATTATCAAAGAAAACAGCAAAAGGAAAGATTTTTCATTTTTTTAACTAAAAGGAAACGGAAATAGAACTAGTGCTCAATATAGCTTCATTAATGCGTACTTTACCAGTTCTTTTTCCTGGGATATCTCTTCTTACAAAATCAGACAAAAGTGCTGTCTTTTCACAGGGATTGGAAAGTAAGGGAAACTGAGTCTGCATATCAGGGAGATAGGTTAAAATTGTTAACCTATGGTTGATCTATTTTTATTATACAAAGCAACATATGTGACTACTTTGTTTAATATACAATTAATATTTTTTTCCACTAAACCAAACTGTGCTTTTTAAGTCTTAAATGCAGATTTGGCACTAAGAAAATCCTGGTGTTAAGGCTTATGTTGTGACAGAAGCTAGTTTATTCAGAAAAATAAACTCTTGTTTTCTATTTCTATGGCTTCTCTTCCAGGTTTTGGCAGAAATGTGAATATTAGCAAGGAAACTGTGGGATACATGATCCAGTCATCATAACCTTCTTTGGAACTGGTATTGATCCAGCAGCAGCTTTCAGTACTGATCTTAAAAACAAATAATATGATTAGATCGATCATCACAAAGGGAGCAGGAATTTGAAGGATATATCTGGGTAATTCAAACCGAAAACACCTAACTCCAGTTCATTAAAAATCATTTCATATTTGTATAAGAATAATTTTAAAAGAATCTAGATGTAGTTATAATTTTAGAAGTAGTCATATTTCTAGAATCTTCTTTAAATTCTTGTTATTTGAATATGCAATTATTGTAAATCAGTTGAATAAATAACTATATCCATATGAAATTTCAAACTAATATGTACATTAGAAGTATATTCATTTTTCGAGAAGAAATATTTTTGTCCCACAATATTAAATTTGTATATGTGTTTGTATGTTTGTGTGTGTTTTAAGTAACTAAACTTTGAGTTCCTTTTAAAACTGTGGGAGTATTTTATTACATAAAAAATTTTCAGACAGAATGGAATCTAGATATGGAAAGCCTATTTCTCTCATATCTAAAAATTCTGATCTATTTTAGCAGTCTTATGTGGTTACATCTAGCATGAACTCACAGTAGCTAGACATGTTTTTCCAAATCTGACAAAAATTTTAGTTACATCTACACAAATATTTAGATCTTTCCAGTCTATAATATTGTGTGAAAGAAATCCAGTATAGAATTTTATTTTCTTTATTTTGGGTAATATTGTATTTAATATGACACACACGACTAGATGAAACTGTTCATCTCTATAAAAAAGAGAAATTATGCATTTAGTTCATCAATTTGTACTCTCTGCAGTCCAATTAAAAGTGTCATTTTAGGCCAGGCACAGTGGCTCATGCCCTTAATCCCAGCACTTTGGGAGACCGAGGCGGGCGGATCACGAGGACAGGAGATCGAGACCATCCTGGCTAACACGGTGAAACCTCGTCTCTACTAAAAAATAGAAAAAATTAGCCGGGTGAGGTGGCGGGTGCCTGTAGTCCCAACTATTCGGGAGGCTGAGGCAGGAGAATGGCGTGAACCCTGGAGGCGAAGCTTGAAGTGAGCTGAGATAGCACCACTGCACTTCAGCCTGGGCGACAGAGCAAGACTCCGTCTCAAAAAAAAGAAAAAAAGAAAAAAAAAAAGGGGGAAAAAAAAGTGTCATTTCGACTCTTTGGCTTGAATAGATCAATCCCCAGTTTCTTCCTGAGTTCAGGCTTTTCCTGCAGCCACTCATCTTTTGCATTGCATTCAGATTTTTTTCTTTCTAAAACAAAATAATTTCAAAAGGTAAACAAAGACTTCCTTGTCAATAAACACAAGACATATTTACCTGCCTTTCCTTTCTTGACATCACAGAAGTTTTAAAATAACTCTTTCCTTCCTGAACTGCAGGTTTCTTCTGCCTCTCCAAGCTTGATTCTCTCCTGTCTTTCTCCCGAGATTCTGGCTTCACTTTCTTTGCTCCTCTTGCAGAGTTCTTTCTTTACAGAGAAGTCATTGCTTGAAATTCCTCAAGGCACTCTACTCAGCCACCTAGACTCTCTCCTTAGGAGTTCTGTTTTACTTTAATTACCACACCAAAACAGACAATTTATAAATGTATGTCTCCATCCTAACTTCATCTCTGATCTTCAGACCAGGGTATTCAACTACCTCTCTTAGATGACTCAGGGGTACCTTCAAGTGAGAATGTCCCAGATTGTACTGAGATGGTTTTACCACATGGTTGTAAATTCTTTGAAATTCTTTCCATTGAGAGGTGGAGTTTCTGTACCCTCTCTTTGAATCTGTGTGAGTTTGTGATTATTTCAACCAATAGTACAGTGGGAGTGAAGGTATGTGATTTCTGAGACTAGATATAGAATAATGTCAACCTTATTTGTTGGAATGCTCATGGAAAGCTGCCATGAGAGAAATTCAACAACGCTAAGGCTGCCATGAGGAAGCCCAGCCTACACGTAGACACTGCGTATAGTTATACCAGTAGACAACCCCAGCTGAGCCTAAGCCTTTTAAGTCATCCCATGCCAGCCTTTAAACATGCAAATGAAGGAGTCTTCAGATACTGGCATCTATTCAGCCATCCAAGCCATTTCCAGCCATTGGATTTTCTTCAGGTGAGATTCCAGATACCATGAAACAGTGACAAGCCATCCTCATGAAGTCCTGCCTAAATTCTTGACCCATTGATAATTCAACAACCAATTGCAATCTGGTCTTCTTTCAGTATCTCCCTCTGTTTCAACTCCATCATCAACTCCTCCTGCAGATTTCTTCCCTTAAGTATTTATTGAATCCATGAACTTCTCTCTATCTCCATCAACACCTTTATCCAAATTATCATGATCTGTGGCCTAAATTGTAGCATTGGCATTCCTATTTATCAACATTCTCCACACTGCCTGTGAGTGATCTGTTCACATTTTAAACCTCTTCGTGTCACCCCATGCTTAATACTCTTCTGTGGGGCCCATTGATTTTGGAATAAAGACAAAATCCTTTATGAGCTTTACATGACCTGAATGATCTGGCGATAGTCTCATTCCCCTGTTCTGCACTGCCCAGTGGGGTAACTACCCGTCTTCCCTGTGGCTGTTGATCTCTTAAAATATGACTGGTGTGACTGAGGAACTGAAGTTTTTATTTTATTCAATTTTAATTAATTATAACTTAAATTTTAAAAATGAATACTCGATTCAGTTTATTGAAAAACTTTTAAGTGTGTTTGGAACAACTTGACTATATGAATTTACTTTTTTTAGATGTCCTCATCTCTAAGTGGGGATACTAATAGTAATCATGTCAAATAGCTATTGTAAAAATTAAATGGCGTGATGTATTTATCTGTGATGTAGGAAGCTTAACGACTTTTAACTATCAATATTATCTCCAGGACAAGCACAAGATAGCAGTTAAATACTCCTTTTTAAATGCTTACTATATACCAGTCATTGTATTAAGTTTATCATTTCAATGACTCCTCACTGTAGTTACCATCACAAAAAGAAACCAAGGTTCAGAGAGGTTATTTGCACAGAATCACACAGCTAGTAAAAGGAAGAGATGAGAGTCACATGTGGACAATTCAGTGACAAAACCCACCTTTTCCACCACCATGTTTCCCTGTGTTGCAGTAGGCACTCAGGCAATCTTAATTTCCTGTCTCTTTTCATGTTTCCTATGCTCCTAACATTTAAATAACCATTGCTCCAACACAGCATCGGCTGTCACAACTCCATTTGTCTGTTCACTCTGCTCTCTTTATTCTAATTTACCTTCTCCTGCCTTTCTCTAAAGGGCAAAATTCTATTTAAGTTTCAATACTCTCTCACATATCATCATGATCTTCCTCTATTGATTGTCTATCCTTTCTCTGAATGTGTAAGCCCATCCTATCTGCTAAGTGCTTCATACATTAAATTAGTAAAACATGCATTTTATTACTTTAAAATAAAATTTTACTCTTTGTATCCAAAGTTACCTCTCCTGTTTTGCTCTGATATTTTTAAGGTCTAAAAAAGGATCATACTCATTTTTGGATCATGTGTGTCTCACTAAATGCTAGGGACATACGTGTGTGTCTCACTAAATGCTAGGAACATATGTATATGCTCAGTGAATTTATGTTGACTTGAAAATTAACCTAATATGTGGTCTACACAAACTGCCTATTTACACACATGTATATATTCACAAACATGCACACACGCAAAGGCCCACATGAATGCCCATGCACACAAACATACACTAGTATACATGTAAAAATATGCAGGGACACACAGATACATAAAATTCATGCTCATACACATGCGTGTATGCACATATGCAAATGTGTACACTCAGAGCTTATGTCAGTTTTCGTTTGCTTACGGCAAGACAAATGAAATATTAAAGAAAGTATGAGCTAAATTACTGTAGAAATAAATGCAGCATCTTTTCTCTTAAAACAATGAAAGTAATTTGCATATTTAATTTTAATAAGAAACAATAGCTGAAGGGGTATTTTGTTACTTAATTTTTCCACTTTATATTACAAAAATGTATTTTGAAATAAAGATGATCTCAGTATCTGGTACTGGGAAATCTCTCTTTGATACACACACATGTACACACACATACCCTTAATTGATGTTCACATACATTTTTGGTAAAATAACAGAAATATTGAGAAAATTCAGGCCAAATGTAGTAGCTCATACCTGTAATCTCAGCATTTTGGTAGGCCGAAGCAGGCAGCTCACACGAGCACAGAAGTTCAAGATCAGCTTGGACAACATGGTGAAACCCTGTCCATACAAAAAACACAAAAATACAAAAAAGTAGCCAGGGCAGTGGTGCTCCAGCTAGTCAAGAAACCAAGGTGGGATGATCACTTGAGTCTGGGCGGGTGGTCGAGGCTGCTTCAGTGAGCTGTTATCACATCACTATACTCCAGCCTGGGCAACTGAGTGAGATCCAATCTCTAAAGAAAACAAAGAAAAAGGAAAAAAAAAAAAAAAAGAAAAGAAAAAAAAAAGAAAGAAAGAAAATTCAGACCAAGATCATCTTAAATAGATTATGCCAGAGGCTATATACCTCGATATTTTTATACAAATTAGTTGGCTTTCAGATTTTATGTTCTATTAAGAAACCATACACTTCTAGAATAGTTTATTTTACAATCTGAACTTTTAAGACAGTAAAGCTACCAGTAAAAGTTGTCTTAAAGAATTAAACAGATACTTTCACCTTTTAAAAACAAACAAAATGTACCATCAAAGCAGGAGAATGATCTTCCATTATCATTAAAATTTTAACAAAGTAGATTATAAACAACTAACAACTGCCCATGTAAAGATAATTTGGCCCCAGATCACTGATGGCATTACTAAATCACGGTAGCATCACTTGCAGGTTAGGATGCCCTGGGAGCTTATGGGGGAATTATAGCCCTGTTACACATAGCCAAGCCCACATTAGTGTTGGGAAGAGGTGTGGAGGTTATAAACATCCAATACGGTCTGCACTCCATTAGATAAGGATATTAATCACACAGATCAATAGGACACCATGAAGCTATTATGATCACTGACAGTTAAAATAGCCCAAGACACTCACTTGTGTCCACCAAGAGAGGAAGAGTATTTTATATCTTTGGATATCAAATGTAGCTGCATTCTAAATCTTTCTGTTTGAGGCTTCACCCTCTCTGTCACTAAAACGCACCATTTATATTTGCATACTCTTCCTGGTGCCTGCAACATAAGTACCTGAAATGGTGATGTCAAATGGGCTTGATTTATGTCACTTTAAAAGAATCTAGTAATTTTAGATCTTGTAATGGGGTTTTCATTCTTCTAGCTACATAATGCATGCAAACATTATCCTGATGCCTTTTAAAAGTTGTCAAAATGCATGGGGAGAACCAAATGTATTATATGTTTGCTTCCTATAGGCTGCAGCAGGGAGAGAGTGGCTCAGAGAGATTTAAGCTGTGTATAATTATAAGTAGCTGTACAGCTGAATAGCTATTGTAATGCCTTCAGTGTGTGGTATCTGGAAAAGAATACAAATAAATGTGCACCACAGTATTGTTGCCTAATACATTAAACATATATTCACACATACGGCAAGATAGGATCACTACGCCCCCATCATCCCACATGTGGCGATACCAGCACACCCAAGTTCCCACCTACCTGTGACTCCCTCCATGGCTACTTGTCCTCTAAAAGAAGGGAAAAGGAAAAGTGGAAGCCCGTATTTCTTTTCGCCAGTCTGGTCCACAGCTTTCCATCTGGTCTAAATGGTGGCATTGATTTAGTGGAATTATAAATCTGTCAGAAAACAATTAGCTCTCACTGTGTTTTCACAGTGGACCACACTGAGAGGGGCAGCTCTGGGGAAATCAGCTCCACTCCTACGAGAGACCACTTAGCAATTCTTTTAGCGACATTCAGGTCAGGACACTGCCATAGAAACTTGCACACACTGGCATTTCCCCACGCCCCGGAAGCCTGTTGAAGATGTGAGGGAGGAAGCCCAGCCCCGCAGTGCCTTTACTCCCTTCGCCTCATTCCCAGAGTACTGAATATTTTGTAAAATCCCAGCCTCCAAGAAATACACATCATTTGGGGGATACAGAAGTCTCACACCTCAAATAATTAGACATAAAACAAGTTAAACAAACAAACTGCTAAATTAAACACCATTAGGGGCTAAATATACAGATTAAACAGTGTGAGATCAGATGGGAAGTTATCAAATTGCCAGTTTTAACAGAAAATTTTATAGAGAAAATGGATTTTGAGATAAGCAACTAAGAATAGGGAGAAATGGGATAAGTCAGCCAGGCATGGTGGCTCACACCTGTAATCCCAGCACTTTGGGAGGCTGAGGTGGGAGGATCACCTGAGATCAGGAGTTCGAGACCAGCCTGGCAGACATGGTGAGACCCTGTCTCTACTAATAATACAAAAAAAAATTAGCTGGGCATGGTGGCCTGTAATCCCAACTACTCAGGAGGCTGAGGTAGGAGAATTGCTTGAACCCAGGAGGCAGAGGTTGCAGTGAGTTGAGATTATGCCAGTGCACTCCAGCCTGGGCAATAGGAGCAAAACTGTCTCAGAAAGGAAGGGAAGGGAAGGGAAGGGAAGGGAAGGGAAGGGAAGGGAAGGGGAGGGGAGGGGAGGGGAGGGGAGGGGAGGGGAGGGGAGGGAGGGGAGGGGAGGGGAGGGGAGGGGAGGGGAGGGGAGGGAGGGGAGGGGAGGGGAGGGGGAAAAGTAAAGAAAAAGGAAGGAAAAAGGGAAGGAAGGAGAGAGAGAGGAAAGAAGAAGAAAGAAAGAAAGAAAAAGAAAGAAAGAAAGAGAAAGAAAGAAAGAAAGAAAAGAAAGAAGAAAGAGAGAGAAAAAGAAAAAAAGAAAAGAAAACAAGAGAAAAGAACAGAAAAGAAAAGAAGTAAGTCAGCCAGAAAGGCTGGATAAAGGAGCAAGGATGGAGGCCTCAGGCCAGATCTCATGACATCACCTCTCCGTGTAGTAGGGAAGAGGATTAAGACAATGGTTGATAAAGGTGGAAATACAGATTGTGGATTGTATTCTCACCTAGATGAGGAAAGAACTGGCAGAGCCATTCTCAGTTCTTGAGAGCAGTTGTCATCTGTCAAAATCACTTGCATCCAGGGTCAGCTCACGGCTGCACAGGACCTCATGCTCGGAAAAACTGTACTTGGTTTAAAGCTCTGCTATCACTGTTTCAAAATTCTTAATAATTTTTATACAAGCATCCCTGCAAATTATGTAGCCAGCCTACCTGCAGTCACTATTCTTCGTACACTTTCTTATTAGACATGCAGTCTCTGTTCCAAATCACCTCAAAACCGACATGCATGCTGATACCTGGGTGTGTGTGTGTGTGTGTGTGTGTGTGTGTGTGTGGTGTGGAGGGTGCGAGGGTCTTGCTTGTGGGGGCTGCTGGAGCAGGAGTCACTTATTTTACCCTTGCGTACTGAGTACCTGTTAGAGCCTTACAAGCCTCTCCCCTATAACTTCTCCCGGGTCTTGTGACTACTGGGGAATCCCTCAATTTCATTCAGCTTCTTCTAATAGCTTTTCACAATAGTCTTTCAATAATCGTGTCACCTTCTAAAATTATTGGAAAAGGTCAATTTTGGACATTGCAGTCAGACCAACTACCATTTTCTGATTCTCTTCCTCTCCTTCTTTCCTTTGGTTTTACTATCTGTGACCCTGGGAAATTTTTAAAATTTTTCCAAGTCTTTGTTCCCTTGTCTGTAAAACTGGGAGAATCACATCTAGCTTAGGAGTCTTACAAAGATTCAAAGGGAATGATGTATTTAAACATACTTAGCAGTCAGTACAGTGGATCTGCTCTTCCATGCCTGTTCTCCATTTTCCTTCCTTCCTCCCTTCTCCTCTCTTCTCTCCTTCCTTCTTTCCTCCCTTCCTTCCTCCCTTCCTTTTTCTATCCCTTCTTTTTGTTTCTTCTCTATGGAAATATGTTAACATTAGGGCATTCTGATGATTAATTTTCCTCCAAAACCTTTCTTAGTTCCGGGGAAGTAAATATAGTTAATAATGAGGAAATAAGAGACCTCACAATCAAAACTGGAAATAAGACTTTCATTTGAATCACTTCCATGCAGGAAGTAGGAAAGTGAGAATTCTTCTGCAACCACTACACCTAAGTTCTTTAAGACATAAAAATTACAGAGTTTTTAAAATGATGTCCAGTCTAAGGCCTTTGACACACACTGCCTAATTGTTATTAGGAAATCAAGAAGAGGGGAGGAGACTGGGTCCCTTATGAGGGCAGAGAAGTTCACCAGCAGCTCTCAGAAGGGCTTTTTCTAAGTGGACAGTGATGATGCACATTTGAAAGGCATTATGGTGTTTGTCCTGGAAAACATTACTAATTTGTCATTTTCTTGATTATCTTCTTATTGTTTGTTTTATCATTGAGACAGGGATTTCTTCATTAATACAAAGGGTGATGCAGAGACAACTAGATCCATCATTGGCTCTAGTTCTTTCCCTACTTCCCCTCTTGGATTAGAAATTCCTCCTGGCCTTCTCAGACGAGTTATCTGTACCCAAGTCATATTTTCTCTTCTTAGGCCATCTTATCTCTGCCCTGATCTCCTTAAGCCTTCACCTGCACCCAGACTTAGAAGTTAGGGCTCCCAAGTTTCTTCTTTAATCTTCAGTCCCGAAATTATTTGTTCACTTCTGATCCTAAAGCGAAGGTGGAGGGAAGATGGTGTTGAATCTGCAATCTAGCTGGGGCACTGGAGGTGCCAAAGACTGAAACAAAAGAGTTCTGAAGGGTCCCTTCTTTATCTGTTTTAGGTGAAAGCCAGGCGGGAGATTAATAGGAGAAGCTGAGGAGACTGAAGATGCTGCATTCCTATAGAAGAGCTGGGAACAATTCTTACCTTTCAAATGGACCTTTACCTTTCCCAGTAATCAATGGAAAGTCAAAAAAGGAACCCAAATAGGAATAAGTAGCTCCACATATACCTTGGATAGGGGACAGTGGGATGAAGAGGGCACAAGAGACACTGATAACGAACTCTAAGAATTACTATCTTGACGGAATGAAGGAATTTCTGAATAAACTGAATTTATTTTCTACAGCTTATGGAAACTGAACCAGTACTTGCACATCTAGCATCTATTCTCATTCCTCGTTTCCTCATTTGAAATAATACACAGTCCCTTTCAGCCTAAATCTTTCATCACTTACTATAACATAGCAAAACAGATCGACTTTGCTGCAGCTCATCTTCTTGATGAATATATATCACTTCAAAATATCCCATATTCCATGTTCAATGTGAATTACTAAGAAACACAACAGCAAACTGTGAAAACAACACAATCTGTGTGGTACTGCATATTATCCCCCATCCTGGAGATTTTGCCTGCACTATGAGTTCATAAAGTATCTATCTAAAGTGGTGTTCTTCTTGCAGAAGGAGTTCAAGGCTATTCATGAATAGACAACAATGGCATATGTGACAGGGAAAATCAAACCAAAGCCTTCCATTGTGTTACAGATATAAAAAGCTCTGCTGTTGGAAGGTTTCTTTATCCCGAAAACCATCACCAATAAATTTCATTGCAATATTCTCCCCCAGCTTTCAGAAATAATATTACTTCACTCACAGGGTAAAAAAGAGAGACACTGAAAACAAACTGTGCATCCTCTCAAGCTCTTATTGTTTGTTAACCAAGATTTTAGAAAGGAGAATTAAAAGCCTACTTACTGTTTAGGGAGTAATAGGAGAAAAGACAATTTTCCCATAATTTTAAAATAAATTATAATACCAGATGGATTGTTTCCCTGCTTGAATTAAATTGACTTTGACAGCAAGGGATTTTTTTTTTTTTTTTTTTTTTTTGAGACGGAGTCTCGCTCTGTCCCCCAGGCCGGAGTGCAGTGGCACGATCTCAGTTCACTGCAAGCTCCGCCTCCCGGGTTCATGCCATTCTCCTGCCTCAGCCTCCCGAGTAGCTGGGACTACAGGTGTCCGCCACCATGCCTGGCTAATTTTTGTATTTTTAGTAGAGACGGAGTTTCACCATATTGGTCAGGCTGATCTTGAACTCCTGACCTTGTGATCCACCCATCTTGGCCTCCGAAAGTGCTGGGATTACAGGTGTGAGCCACCACGCACGGCCAGCAAGCGCCATTTTTTGACTTCAAGAAACTTCTGAATTCTTACCTGTTTCTTTCTCTGCTTTCCTAGGGACTAGATTCTGATTGACTTAGATATTTAGTCCACCAATTAGTGCTGATAGTGTTGAGTGACAGCCTCAATCTTGCTTTGAAAAGGCACCTTCCCTTCTAAACTCTATTTGCCTAGGAGTTTGAACTTCATTAACTTTTGTCAGTGTGTCCATTATCCAAGGTATCACACCACAGCCTGCAAGTAAAAATCTCCGTTGCTCAGTTTTATATGCACTACTTAATGGAAAGCAAATGATCCGAATTAAATGCCATCGCCACCAAATTAAATACCTGTCCTGTCTGATACAGGAGCTTTACTGGCAGAAGTTAGATTACATCCTGATCAAATATGGGGAGATTCCGTCATTTGTTTTTCTTCTTTTCAAAAGTGCTGCATTAACTTCCACAAACTCATGATGACCAATAATAAGGAATAATACAACCCCAGACAGGAAAGACAGAGCGTTTCCTGATGACAGAGGGTATTATGAAGGATGAAAGTCAAGGCCTCGCCATCTCACAAGCGAGGGAGTGTGACTTAGGGGGCCTAAATAAAATGACTGCCTATATTAGTGATATTAACCAACTTGAGTGAAAAATGTATTCAATTAATCCACACTAGATATTAAACTGAAAGTAAATAATGAATCTCACGAGTCTCATTTGGTCACCAAATTGGTTACCAATTCAATCAAACTGATGGTATGTGTACATCCTTCTTCCCTTTGGGTGTGTATGTGAGCATTCCTTAGTGTTCATGTGAGTGTTCTTTCATTTTTATTTCATATGT